CTACGAATTACGAGTCTACGCATCCTATTTACAAACTCATGATCATCTCTTAAATTAGACCGATTTTGTTTCTTTTTTTTTTTTGTACCTTTTCATCTCTTAAAGCTCCTAAAGTTTGTACCTTTTCATCTCTTAAAGGACGATTTTACACTAAAAATGATGTTTTGACAAAAGGGTTGGATTAATTTTTTAAAATTCAATTAGGCACAGATCCCAAGAACTCTTAGAAAATCAAATAAAAAGCAGAGTTTCAAGATATGAGGCTCTTTATCTGATGAATGTCTGACATGAAGAGGTAGAAGTAGAAACTTGCAGCTCCATTAAAGGTCAATTACAGGAATCTTCACAGTAGTTTTTTTTTTTTGTCTGGTTATAAAATGAAGATCTTTAAAGCCCTTTTTCTTTGCCAGTTATTCAAACCAGAAGCCAAGTTTTGATCAGATAAAGCTAATAGCTAGCGATCTAGGCGGCCGGCTTTGGCATATAATGTAGAGTTAATTTAATGATATGTTATTGTGATTGAATTCAGCGATCATTTTAGAGAGTTTTGTTCATAATTAAATCTCATCAATAATGCAGAGAAAAGGATGTGGTTCGATTTCAACATCACAGAAGCAACTTGATGCTAAGGTCTTTTTGTTATTATAAACAAACAAACGTTGTTGTTATGGTTGCTGTCTTGTTTCTTTTTATATCTTTGTCTATTTTTAATGTTTTTTTTTTGTCTTAATAATTTGTGTTCTTGTTTAGACATTGAGACGTTTAGCTCAGAATAGGGAGGCTGCCAGGAAGAGTCGCCTAAGGAAAAAGGTACAAATTTTGTGTTTTGACAATTTATTAGTGTAAATATCGTTCTGTTTGACCCGTTATGTATTGTTATCAGTCTCATGTCTTTAAAATGCGTCTGATAAGAAGAGGTTTACACACTCTTACGGAGAGGTTTTCACACCTTTATAACAAATGTTTTGTTCCTCCCCTTGGGACCAGCATCCTCAGCATACCGCCTTGGCTTAAGCCCACCGCTAGCATATATTGTCCGTATAAACCTGTTACTTATCACCATCAATCTCACGGTTTTAAAACTCGTCTGCTATGAGAAGTTTCCACACTCCTATGAAAAATACTTAGTTACCCTCATTGACCGACATGAGATCTCACAATAATGGTTTTAAGAGTGAAAACGTCTATCGGCTAAGACGCATTTTAAAATCATGAGGTTGTCATAGATGCTTAACGAGCCAAACCTGACAATATTTACTAATAGTAGGCTTAGACAGAGGCATTTACACGACAGAAACGACAGAAATGGTAATTAATGAGATTTTAAATTTGATTTATTTGGGTTAAAACGTAATTATAGGCTTACGTACAGCAACTTGAGAGCAGTAGAATCAAGCTCACTCAGCTTGAACAAGACCTTCAACGGGCACGAGCTCAGGTTAAAAAAATGTTTTTTTTACTGCAATATATATATATATATATAGGGAATATATGTGTTTATAGATTTTAAAAAATTACTGTGTTTTCCATTTCTTGGTAGGGTTTGTTTCTTGGTGCCTGCGGTGGTGGCGGCGGCATTATCAGCCCAGGTAAGCTTCAAACAAGTTATTTATGCATGAAAGTAAATAATGGATGATCAAATGGTAATTTTTTTGGAAAATGGTTATGGTAGGAGGTGCAATGTTTGACATGGAATATGCAAGGTGGTTGGACGAGGACCACCGGCACACGGCGGAGCTGCGCGGGGGACTGGAGGCACGCCTACCGGACGTGGAGCTGAGAGTGAAAGTAGACGCATGCATTTTCCATTACGACCAAATTTTCCGGCTGAAAGGAGAGGCTGCTAAGTCCGACATCTTCCATCTCATCGCCGGCATCTGGATGTCTCCGGCCGAGCGTTGCTTCCTTTGGATTGGTGGATTCCGGCCCTCCGATCTCATCAAGGTTTGCATTTTTTCTTATTAAATATATTGAAAATTGTTGAGTTTAATTAAGAGGTTGTTGATTGATGAACAGATTTTGCTGTCACAATTGGACCCAATCACAGAACACCAAGTGGTGGAAATTTACAAGCTACAGCATTCGTCACAGCAGGCTGAAGATGCTTTATCTCAAGGCCTTGATCAGCTCCATCAGTCTTTGACGGACACCGTAGCCGGCGGTCCGGTCATCGACGGCATCAACCACATGGTTCTGGCCATGGACAAGATCTCTCATCTCCAAGGCTTTCTCCATCAGGTAATTACTTTATTATTATTTTAAATGATTCAATTTTATTCACACTAACAAAAAAAAAAAAAAAAACATTTGGGTCGGTTTAGGCGGATATTTTAAGACAACAAACGCTTCACCAATTGCATAGGATGCTCACCGTCCGACAAGCAGCCAGATGTTTTATAGTTATTAGTGAATATTACACTAGATTACGAGCCCTAAGCTCCATATGGTCCTCTCGTCCAAAGGACTAAGATTTATATCCTATCCATGTTCATCTTTTCTCCTAATTTTAATGAAATCTAAATAGGTGTCATATTATGTTATTATATTCGTTAACAACATAGAACCTCTGCATATCTCTACAATTTTAGGCATAATTCTTCTTAATTTTGTCGTTTCGTGTCCACGAAGAACTGTATTATGAAGTGCATATGGTTCCACCCTTGCTGCATCACTCCATTAATGAAAGAATCTAACTGGTTTTCCTCGACTTAAGTTTTCTGGATTGGGGATTGTTTTGATTTTATTTATGGATTATAAATTTTTTTAATTTGTATACGAATATTTAAGGAATTTGGACTCTAATCGTTCAAAATAACGATTTTTTAAAAAGAAATATTTGGATTTCCTCCTGGAAAAAATGTGTAAATTAGAATTTTCGATAATTAATTTCAACGGTGCTGATCTTTCATTCAAATTAAGTCTTTCCAATCTTTCCATCCAACCGTTGGATTCGGGTTAATACTCCCACGGCAAAACGTAATGGGCACGCGACATGGGCCCAAGCCCAACTAATTTCTTTTATTTTATGTAATTTTTCAAATTTACGAAAATAATATTTGACATTTATAATTCAATATTTATATTTATGATATTTTAATTATATAATCCAACTAAAAATAGAAAGTTTGGTCGGATAAGATGACAGGTGGAGAAGACAGTAAAATGACACGTAAGACAGCGTGGACAAATGAGAAACCGACAGCAAACAAGCAGAGGTGCTGAGCTGGCTACTCCTCGGGAAAGTATTTAGAAACATCATCAATCAGTCATTATCCATTAATAGAGCTTGTGTGTCGAATTATCCTTCTTCCTTTTACCCTTACAGTTTTACCCCCGCAGTAAGTTGTAAATTAATTTAAAAAAGAAAACAGTAAATAAACAGTAATTCATGAATTTAGCACATATATAAATAAAGAAAAGGAATCTCTGGGGCTAGCTAGTTTAGGGTTTCTGACATTATAAGAATATATATATATATATATATATGTTGATTGTTTGGTTGCTACAATGATTTGTGTCCTCGTGGGGTTAGGAGTAGAGAATCTAATGCACTCTTTCTCTAATCCATTTTAATTATGTAATTAATCACCACCGACCTAACAACCATACCCTTCAATTATTATAAAGAATTCAAGCGAATTTATACCAATAGGGATGGGTTATAGATATGTAGCCTTTTTCATCTAACAACTCGACCCCCCTTCGACTCTTCCAATCATTTGAGTCGTGTTTATTCCTAATTTCGTTTAATAATCAATTGAGTTGTGTTTAAGTAAACGATATTATTAATTTAAAGTAACTATTTTAAAGGATCTAATTGGTCCGGGCATAGAAAAAACAATTGCTGTTTTTTTTTTTAAATAATCATGGATCTCCACAATAGTATGATGTTATTCACTTTCTCAACGATTTTTTCTCTTTCAACGGCTGTGATTCCGACATGGAGTCATTTTACTAGAGTTACTCTCAGGTTTGAATTTATTGTAGGTTGGTGGCTACAACTCGTGTTAAAAGCTGACACTTTTTTTTTTTTTTTTTTCTGTTTTTTCTCCTGTGATAAGTTTTACGAGTGAATTTAAATTTTGTAAAAAATGTCACTTGAAAGTGTCGTGTCCATGTCGTGTCATGTCATTTGTTAACTATATGATTGGTAAGAGATAAGCATAGCTTTAGGTAGGCTATGACCAAAAGGAAATGAAACACACCATCTTCCTTTGAAAACATAGTTAATGATAGTATCAACTTAGGATATTGGTTCCCACGATTTGTAAAAGACATGTTCTTTCTCAGGTTTTTTTCCCTGTTTCCCCAGTCAAATGTTCCTAGTATTGTGAGCAAAAGCTGCCTCTTACACATCATTTCCATAAATCTATCTGACCCGAGTTCAATAATGTCACCTTTTATCATTCAAATCGAGAAGCGTTCGAAAATTGGACCAGTAGAATAGATCATGAGTGTATAAGTGATTACAAATATATTTTTTAAAAAAAAAAGTAATTACGAAGTATTTTAAATGAAACGAAAAAACAAAGCTACGAAAGCGAGTACCGTACCACTGATGCCACAGAGGCTTTTGGTGGTCTTATTGATGCATATCACTACAGAGTCTTGGAAAACACGTGGTTGGTTTGAATCATTTGCAATGAAAATTCCCACTTCCTACACCCAACCCAATCAAGGAGAAGCACATACTCGGAACAGAAGTGAAACGAGCTATGCCACTGGCGGGCATCTATTTTTCAGCTGGTTTCAAATAAATCAAAGTTTGGCCAATGAGTCAGGGAGCTCCAACCCCTAATCTAAGTTAATCTCGGAATTATGTATATTGATTGAGTTTGACGATGATCCTTGGAATCCCGTTTTCGTTATTGGATTTCTACCACCATGTTCGTTTGTTTATGATCGTTACGTTAAAATATCAATCGAACACGGGAAAACTTTCTAATACTTAAAAAGAAAAATAACGAATTTTGGTTTGAGTTGTTTCCATGTACGTGATTCATTCAGCAAATTTCACCACCAATCTAAACGTTAACAAACCAAACATAAAACCAAACATAAAACAAGGACAGCTAAACACTGCATGCAAATTCAATATAATATATCTATCTTATTTTGGGTTATTTATTTATCTTCTTCTGGCGGCCGTAGCCCTTTGAGCATTGAAATAGACTGCAGCCACAGGAAGGCCAAGACCATTCTCTTCTGCAAATCTTCTTGCATTGAACCCATCTCTTGAAGCTGAAGCAGCTGGTGGCTTCACTGTCTGCCTTCGTGCTTGCTTGTATAGAAGGAACACGAATCTATGGATCCCTACGTTTGGACTTGGAACTTCATATTTCACTACTTCTTTCCCTGTTTTAACAACAATATCATGTAATTAATTAGACCAAAAATACATCAAACAAATTCATTACGACCATAGGACTTACCAAAAGTGGAATCTGTCGTTCCTGGGATGTCTGTCACTATCCTGAAACCAAAATCATATCCTTAATAAAAACATGTTTTTTTTATAATAATCTCAATCATGGGAGATTAATGAAAGTAGATGATACCAATGGAGATGCTCTCTCAAGTAAGGATCACTCGGACCCGGAACATCTGGGTCGGTCATCACCTGCAAAGTTAGTTCAAAATCATTATAAATGCGTTCTCAAATTTTTAAGGAGCTAATATCTGCCCGCGGTGGACTTAATTATAAATATATAAAACGAAATGAGAAGATGGGTATTGTCGAGTATGATGATACCAATGTGAAGAAGGATCTAAGGTCGCCTCCAAAAACCTCAACCTTAGGTTTTAGGGTTATAAAATTTGGAAGCAGCTCGTGCCCATTGGACACCTTCTTGTTTGAATGGTAAGTGACAGTCATCTTCACCGTCGGGGAGAAGGCGTCGATGACATCTCCGACCACTCTTCCGACCACGAGAGGATCCGACATCTTTGCCATCGCCGTATAAACAAGAGAGAGAGAGAGAGAGAGTTAGTTATTTGAGTATGGTTTTTGGTTAGGTATGTGAAGTGAGGGAGTATTTATAATATTGTTGAGAAGAGAATTGGGGAAAAGAAAAGTTTATCATCTTTTTGTGAACAATTGAAGCAATGACAATTGGCCAAACATTATACGACATCAAATCTTATTTGTTGAAGTGTCTTGTTTTGAACATAAAAAAAAAAAATAATAAGTATTGTTTAATGAAGGGAATTACGGATTAGGAGGACTAAGAAGCTTCACCTTCAAGCTTAAATCAACAAATTAATATAATCAAATGCTGCATTTGGAGGCCAAAATTGATTCTTTTTCATTTCCAAAGTTGGTAATTTTAGAGAGTGGGTTTTGCCATATTTGGTAGGATCAAGCATAACCACAATCAGTGTCCAAATCTTCTTTAATATATTATATATATAATATTATTTTCCTAACATTTTAATATTGTAACCGCTCGATCCAATCCCGATATTGTCCGGTTTGAGTTTCTCTCTTCTGAGATGAGGTTTCTACACCTTTATAAGAAATGTTTCGTTCCCTCTCTAATTAAATGTGAGATCTCACAATCCACCTCTTTAAGAAAGCCTAACGTCCTCACTGACACATCTTAATGAAAGAAACATGATCTTTATTATTTTAGAGTATGTATTAAAAATATTTAATTTGCTACGATTTATTAATTATTATTTTATGTACGGGGGTTCAATAGGCAAGCATAAAAGCATATACTCTTAGGGAAATAATAGTCATAGGGTGGTTCAATGATGTATTAAAATCTTCATTTGGGCCTTCGACGGGCAGCTCGGCCCAGCCCAATAAAGGGAACTCTGAAACACCAGTTGGAGGCCCAAAAGTAGAAAAATAGCGGCCCAATAAAAAATGTACAATTAAAGTATATTATTTAAACATATATATATATATAATTATGAAGAGAATCACTTTTTTGTTTAAAAAAAGAAAACAGAATAATCCAACTAAGAGTATAGAATATTCTTAATGAGGCAAACCAAGACGTCATATGAAAATAATTATTGATGCAGAGATTAATGAAACTTTTTTATTTTAAATAATTTAAATATTTTGTGATTTATAACATTTATTTTTGAATCCAATGAATTTAATTTATATTTAGTAATAAATACTAAATTAAAAATTATAAAAGATCGTGTCATTCGACCAAGCCAAGTGTGTATGGTCATGTATGATCGCCCTTGACACATCAAGAAAGAGGAAGAATATGAGCCTATCCAAAGCTTTACAATAGGGCTAGTCGAGTTGTTTTCGTCATTAGAGAAATTATTGTTGCAACGTTTGGTACAAACTAAGGCTCCAATAATTTCCTATAAAACAGTAGGTACAAGACTTTTTCAGAGCTTAGCTCGATATCAACTCGGAGGAAGCACTATAGCAGCCTCGCACACATGCAAGTTCGCAATACTCGTTTCTGTACCTGTAATTCCAATAAACCTTACATCGAATATAATATATATTTATTGTTTGATCTTTATCCATTTGTCTTATAATTTCATTGAAATGACATCATCCCATGTCTTCTAAGGTTATGTGATTTGAGGAACAAAAATTGAAGGGGGAATATGAAAAAAAGATGCCATTTTGATTCGGATTCCAAGCTTTTATTGCAAAATACAGCAACAAAGACATGGAAGAAGAAGAGGGACACAAATTAGAACGCCAAAACTGCGCTTGTGACTCGAAATAACGGCCCATTAGCGGCTGCCAATGGGCGAGAAACAGTACATTTACAAAATATATTTAAAACAAACACCCAAAATACGAGCTGTCTCAATCCACCTTGTCTCTGAGGTCAAAGCGAAGTAAAACCCCCAAAAATCTCAGCATCGCCTCAATCGTTCAACCCCTTTTGTCTATCTCACCTCCACTTTCTTCGATCAGGTGATTCTAAGTCTTCCATTTCTCTTGTTTTTTTTTATGTAATTTTTGAAGTGGGGTTTGTGGATTCTGGGGTTTATGTTGGTCAGATCTGTGGTTTTCCCAGGAATGGTGTCGAGATTTGCTGTTGTGTTGCTGATTGGTTTTTTGGGGATGTTTTATCAGGCCAAGCAGCTACCTCCCCCTCAAATTAATGGCTCTTCTTCTTCTCAGGATCTTACTGTTTCTTCTCACAGAATCAAACTCAGTGATGGAAGGTACCTTGCTTACAGAGAGAAGGGCGTTTCTAAGGACGAATCTAAATTCAGAATCATTGTCTGCCATGGCTTTGGAAGCTCCAAAGACATGACTATTTTGGCATCTCAAGTACACCCACACTAGACTTGCTTTGTTTTTCAATCTCTTCCCTTGTTCTTCATGTTTTCTTATCTGGGTGTGCTTCAAAATTAGGTTTTATAGTCTCTGATGATTGTGTTAGCTAAAAAAAACCTTGTAATTGATGAACTTTGATGGTTTTAGGATCTGATTGTTGAGTTGGGGATTTACTTTTTGCTCTATGATCGGCCTGGATATGGTGAAAGTGATCCAAACCCCAATAGCTCAGTTGAGAATGAAGCTTATGACATTCAACAACTGGCTGATCAGTTGCAAATTGGATCGAGATTTTATATGATCGGCGTGTCGATGGGGTCGTATTCGGCGTGGAGTTGTCTCAAACACATACCACACAGGCAAGATTTTTGGTCCCATTTCCTGTCTTTGAGCTGTTTTCAGTTGCTATGTATTGCTTCCTTTCACCAAAAGTAACTGAATGTAGGTTAGCAGGCACAGCTCTTATAGTCCCTTTGGTGAACTATCAGTGGCCTTCACTTCCATATAGCCTAATAAAAGAGGATTACAGGAGAAAGTTCTTAAGCTTAGGCTTGTGGCTTTCAACCTATGTCCCTGGGCTGCTACACTGGTGGGTGACTCAGAATTGGATTCCTTCGACTTCGGTACTCGAAAAGAATCCAATATTCTTCAACGAACGAGACATCGACATCTTGAAGACAATTCCAGGCTTCCCAATGCTATCCAAGGTAAAGGTTCTCTCTTTTTCGCCCGCTATATGTGTTGATCTGCGTCGGAGTTAGTTCATTGTTCTGCTTGCAGAGGAGTTTAAAGGAGCAACGCGTTTTCGACACCCTTCGAAGTGATTTCATGATGGCATTTGGTGAATGGGAATTCGATCCGCTTAAACTAAGTAACCCGTACGGTGAAAACGAAAGCTCGGTTCATATATGGCAAGGCTATGAGGACAAAGTTGTACCAGTCCAACTCCAAAGATATGTTTCAGGGCAGCTTCCATGGATTCAGTACCATGAAGTCCCTGATGGTGGGCATTTGATTATTCATTACAAAGGCGTGTTTGACACCATTTTAAGAGCAGTTCTAGTTGGAGAAGAACCAGTTTGTTACAGACCAAAATCTGTGTCTTAGAATTTAACCTGAGTAGCTGATTCTTTAAGAGACACAGAAACATATATCATTGAATTTAGGGTTCAACAACATCCTGCTTCTGCAGGAACCAGAGAAGTCTCCTGGAATTTAGTTTACACAGGAACACAAGTCAATTGATTGGTTTGCTGTTTTTGTTTGGGAAAGAAAACAAGACATTCTTGTCTAATCATTATTATTCTTAGCCATGTTTGTTTTTGTGAATACAAGATTACTCATGTTTGTAACCTCTCGAGCTCGGTGATACTGTTTGTTTTGGTTCATTATGTATCGCTTCAGCCTCGGTTTTAAAACGTACTACTAGGGAAAGGTTTCGATACCCTTATAAGGAGTCTTTTGTTCCACCCTCCGATCGATGTGGGACCTCACAATTCATTCTCGTTATGGGCCCAGCGTTCTCGCTGACACATCGTTCGGTGTCTAACTTTGATACCACCATTTGTAACAACTCAAGCCCAACTCACTCGCAAATATTGTCCGTCCTTGTCTATTACATATCGCCGTCGGTGTTACACTTTTAAAATGCATCTATTGGGAGCTTAATCTTTTAACTCATGATTGATGGTGAAAGCGAAAATACAAAGCATTCTAAAGTACAGTTGGTGTAACAGGAATCGAAGTCAACTGTCAATTACCGGATCTTAAGAATGTAATTGGTCAGATTCATCAGTTACGTGTGGTTTTGGAAGTAGCAGATTACGAACTCCTACCTCACCTGCCAATCATGTGCGTGTGCAAAGACTGAGGATCATCAATCGCAGTCAAATCCAACGGCTCATATTTAACGATGCTAACTGCCTCTGTCCTTGTTTTCCTCGTATTTCCAAAACAATTTACATCAGCTATGTACAAAAGTTGCATGCCGGATTAAACGTGTCAAAAATAATCATTGCTTTTTTATAATAACAATAACAATAAAAATAAAAGTTATTATAATTTAACTTAATAAATCAAAATTTAAAGATATGATCCATTCCATTTGGATGAAAGTTCTACCGTCTCATTTAAGGGATGAGCATCGGTTTATTATCATTGTTACGAGGCCTTTTGAAAAGTCCAAAGCAAAGCCACGAGAGTTTATGCTCAAAGTGGACAATATCATACAATTGTGAAAACTCGTGCTCGTCTAACACTTTCCACCTCCAAATATTAAATTAAAGATAGGTTAATTGATAATATTATAAAAATTGTGATATTCATCCGTTAATTTTTTTTAATTATTTTAAACTTGTATTCGTTATTATTAAAAGGCGTGCACTCCGTTGACTGTTATAAAAGTTTTCGATTTTTAGACTAAGATAAGTCCTATCGTATTAAATATTTGAGTTAGTTTCCATCTTTTCCGTGATTCTCAATTTGTTTTCTTTTCGTTTTTTAAAAATTTATCAATGGGTTAATCTAAATTATCTCCTTAAATGTATTAACTAAACCATATTATAATGGAGCAAAAGAATTTAAAAAAAAAAAAAAAAAAACCAAACTCATACACATTAAAATTAACCTAAGCACGATTATAAAATAAGGTTTTGAAATTAATATATAATTAAATTTGGAGGTTTATTATTATTATTATTATTTATGAAGTGGGAAACGG